CCCCAAAACCCCAAAACCCCAAAACCCCATAAGCCTAGATACTTTCTAATCTTAAAAATTAATAATTATTGATATACACTCATAAATCATTGCCATTTGTAGAATTGATTGAAATAGTCTAATTGCTATCAATAATTGTAGAGTTTGTGGATTGAGTGGCATTTATAGGATTAGGGTTATACAATGGATAGACTCTCTCGGGGAAGGGATTGATTTAGTATTGTAATGTGTAGCAATATATTAGCCCATACAAAAGTATAGAGAAGAAGGAAAATAACTTAAGGGTGTTAATCTTTTTATTATCCATTAGCTTCCCAAACACATAGAGAGCATACACTGTATACCAGAGATTAAACACAAATACGTAGTTATTAGCCAGAGTATCTACTAAGTTGAACAAGAAAGTGAACATAGTGTATATAACGAACAAGAAAACAGCATCATGACGGCCAATTAGTCTCACAAATGAAAGCTTGGAGTTTGTCTCATCTCTTGTGAAATTTTTAATACCTTTGATTAGTCCGTGATTTTATATCACAAAAAGCACAGGCATTGAAGTCAGAAGGGCTGACATCGAGAATTCATTAAAGAGATATAGAGAAGTTAGCTAAGTCAAAATGATTCCATCACTCAAGAAGAACATGAAATTATTGACGAGTGGGAAAATATTGATGAATGAATTGAACAATATGTAAAAGAACATCCAAATATATCTGTAGGTAAAGTAAGACGACTATAGTCTTGTGCTTTCATAGTCAAGCCAAGCAAGTATAGGCGTGAGGATAATATGGCTGAGTGTGTAAATTGCAATGACACCAACGATAACTACCATCATATGCAAATGTTCTTCATTCTTCTTTCGCCTAGACTCCTCTATTATCTTTAAATTCATGAATATCACATGCCAGACAACAATAAAGCTCATGAATTCCCATTCATTATGAACAAAGTCCTCATAATTTATCTTTTCTACTATGGTGTAATGTGCAATTACAATCATGATTGTTAAGAATCTATATAGCAAGGTCTTCAAATTTCTAATTCCAAAGACAGACTTAAATAGAGACTTGCAAAGGTATAATAGTGTAATAGGTCTGGTGCATTTCTTTATTGTTAGCTTGATGCATGAAGTAAGTTCTTGGATTTGCTAGCTTCTTGGAGGCATTTATCTACTTTTAGTATCTGAGTCGGAAAATAATTAAATTGTTTGATTTTAAACTAATTCTGATAAAATATTCCTAAATTCCCATCTTGGGGTTTTGGGGTTTTGGGGTCTGTTTATTTGCTTTCATCCATC